ATCATTTTCAGATTTGATGTGCAGTATTGCGTCACAGTGAGAACTTCCAAAGAAGTGTTTTTTACTTATATCATTTGTTTTAACATTAAATTTATTTTTTCTGTTTGAAATCTACAAAAATTTTTGGCTCGCTACCCTCGCCTTAATTTTATATATTATTTTATTGTATTCATATATTGATATTCATCACATTGGAAATCAAGAATATTTATATTAATCGATTTCTTGCAATGCACGCCAATTTTGTTTTGCTTTCTGCCATACTTTTATCATTTGTTTTTACATTGAATTAGAGTTTAATGTTTGCTCTCGATTTTTTTTTTTTGCATTTTTAATTGTTTTTGTAAAATTTCGAAACAAAAGGAGAAATTTCTACGGTGAATTTGTAGTATGTATGGTTACCAAATCTATTCAAAACTAATTGCACCGATGTTTTAATTCATTTTTTTTCAATTGAATAAAGCCCTCAAAACATCATTTCAAGGTGTAGTTTCCTGGTTATTTAAAAAATCTTAAAAAGGTGGTCCGCCAAATACACGCTTTTTCGAATTTTGACCAATTTTGAAAAATGTTGGTTTTAAAAAATGTGCACACTGGTTCAAAATTGAGTGCTCTTTCGATCTATGATAAAAAAAACGTAATTCACACTTTTTTTTTAAACAAAATTACGATTTTCATCGATTTTTCCCCATTTTTTAATAGTATGGTCATAAATGGATTGAACCATCTCCACTGAATTTTTTTCAAAATTTCTTCGCTGTATGCTCTTGGGGAGCTCAATATCTTGCCAAAGAGCCAAAAATGACGTATCTTTGTTGAAGAACACCCCGTGTACCATAATCTAGAAATTCTCCAAAAATCGAAAAATTTCGAAATTTTTTTTTAATTTTGGAACCGAAAATTTTTTTTGGAACGAATTTTCCCAGATATGACACATACACCAAAACATCACGAATTTAGTCCCCAACAAACGCTCAGTTTACCACGAAAAAAAAATGAATGTAATTTTTTTAATTTTGGTAGGTGTGAAAAAAGTCATTGTCATTTTTCCAAAAAAACAACACATGCCGCGCCATCTAGCGATCATTTTAGACATTTTTTCCAATCTGACGTCAGATCTGGATAGCTGAGGTTCGTAGCTTTCCAACGACATATAGATCATTACCTCACCTTTCATATGCACAGAAAGTAGGCCATTCAATGAAAAACTGAAAAAGTGCATTCCACTTTTTTTCGAACTCAGACCCCAGGCACTTGCGTGACGAAATCGAAAAATTCGAAGAGACATGTATGCTCAGTTTTCCATCTACTTTCGAATAAAATCGGTCTCCGGCGATTTAAGAAATGTCTCGGAAAAAAATTTGCGGACACACAAACATATCATTTCAAGAATTTCGTGTTTTTCGTAAGATTTTTTGACATGATCATATCTCGGACACTTTTCGATCGACTCCAACAATTTTTTTTTCAACACTATCTACCCGAACTCCAGTTTCCGAATATGATATTTTTCGGAAATTTGTTTCTGGTTTGGGTGGTCAAGAATGGACAAAGCCAAAAATTTACCATTTTTTTTGAAACGCCACCTAGCGGTCAAATTTTGAAATTTTTTACTAAAATATGCAAAAACCCCTTTCCAAAAGTCAGCGGTATCGATTTTCATTTCCTTACAGTATATATAGAGTGACGCAAATATACATATATTTCATATGTATGTTGGTATTGCGTCACTTGAGGGACTGCCGTCCCCCGTGATATTATATTATTATTACATTTATTTATTATTTTTCATTACAATTACAAATTTTAGGGTTCATATTCGTCCGCGTGCTCCTCAACAAGACGAGACCGCATGCCACCGCATTTTGACGAGAATAGGTGTCCTCGGCAATCCAAGACGACAACGAAACAAGCCAGGTCCAAAACCGAAGGCGCAAGTACTGACACTGGCAAGCAGAGAGTAGAAAACGCTGCCGCTATAGTAATACTATATTAACGGTGCCTATAAATAGTTACTATTTGTACACATTTCGATTGTGTGATCACAACAATTTTTGCGAACTCCAATGTGAACAATGCAACTCTTTGTATGCAGATTTTAAATACAAAGAGTTGCATTGTTCACATTAGAGTTCGCAAAAATTGTTGTGATCACACAATCGAAATGTGTACAAATAGTAACTATTTATAGGCACTGTTAATATAGTATTACTATAGCGGTAGTGTTTTCTACTCTCTGCTGGCAAGCGTTCAAGATCCGCTAACCAGCCCAAACAAAAAACGTCCGGGGCGCCCAAGAACGTTTATTGGGCCAATGCTGCCACCCAAAAACTGTCCAAAAAAACGTCTTTGGAACTTTGAAAAACACAAAGAACAACCACCAGAGGACGAACCAGATGAACTGGTCGACGTGACAGCGAACGTTGATGCTGATGATGACATGGCATCATGTGATGAACATGAACACACACCAGCTGAAATTTCAAAAATGACGGAAGAAGAGTTGGTGCAAGAATATAACAAGTTTCTTGCCATCATTAATCAAAACCAAGTTCAACCATTTGACAGAGCTCTCAAATTGAAGAGCTATCTTTTGCATATTGTTCACCGAATGGGTAGGATTATTATTATTATAAATATTATATAAAATATTGACTTTAATAAAATTATTTTATCTTTCAACAAACACAGCACAACATCACAAGAAAGGTGCTCTGCGTGACATGCACATCAAACAAGTGCTGGATGCGTACGACCGGAAAGTAAAAAAAATGACCAGCAATAAAAGAGCCGGCCAGCAAAAACCACCATACCACATGCCATGATGATGATGATGATGATGATGATGATGATGATGATTCTCGGGATCAACAACCGTCAACCTCTGCTGGTTTTGTTGGTCTTGGTTTAAACCGAATGTCACCTACCAATCATCCGGATTCGGATTCGGAGAAAAAGCCAGATTCTGTCGAAGATTCCATCGCTGCACGAAGGGCACTTGACCGTGCCAAAAGACAAGCAATGTTGGCATCACCAGCTGATACAAGTGGACTATTCGGCAGTAAAAAACTCGACTGGAGCATCGATGATTTTAATTTTTAAAACAAATTTCCGATCAACAACCATCAATTAATGAATAATTAAAAACAGTGATAGGACACAAAACAGTGGCAGTGACAGTGTGATAGGACACAAAAAAATCGTTGAAAGAGATAAAAGACTCAATGAACCATAATATAACAAAATAAGTGATAGGACACACTAGAGCTCAAAAACAAAGAAACAAAAAAAAAACGAAAAAATACGAAATCGCAATGAAAGTCGAAAAAAATTGAAAGTAAAGTGATCAGTGACCATTGTGCACAAGACAAAAAATTACTACTATTGAGTAGTGTAGTGTGGCATGAGTAACAAAAAATCTGTCTGTGTGTGCCGCATTGCAATTCGGTTGATTATTCATTTGTCTGCACAATTGAGCACAATGCATGGCCTTATCCTCTTATTCGGATGAGACCAAATATTAAGAAAACTAGAATCAAACGAGATTTGAAATTTGGAATTCAGTTTTTGGTTGGTAAGGCATGCTCTTTTTAGAAATATTCAATTTACGTATTATTTACATTTTAAAAAGTATCAATCGGCGGAGCCGCGGCATTGTTTCTCGGATGCAGTTTTATAAGTATTGCTGAGATCATCTTCTTTACTTTAAAACATTTGTCTCAAATATGTTCAAAGAACCCAAAATGAAGGAGCAGAAAAGACATTTCATTTCGTTTTATACAAATTTTATTCTATTTTGAGTACTGCACTAGATGCTTTCGCTTCATTCATCAACAATTTTACGCAAATTAAAAATGAATTAATTTGATAATTGTGATTCACATTAAAACAGTTTTATAACCTCAAAAATGTGTTGATTTTGTTAAAACCATTTTAATTGATAAAAATATCATTTTTTCGAATATGCCCATTTGTTCCTTTGGTTAAGAAAAAACTGTGCTCTATAGTATATTTGCAATGGTATTTCAAATAATGCTTCAATTCAAACGTGTCATTCCTAAACTATCTGTCTAATAAGTTTCCGAGAAGAAACTGTTAGAAACTCATTTTTAAATGAGCAAATGTTTCGACGCACGTTTACTTTTATTGTACCGCATTTGTTTGCAACATTTTGTACACTGTTAATGCAAATGAATTTAAATCGAAATCTTCTATTCAAGCGTTTGAGTTCGTAGTATTTTTGGATTTAAAAAAAACATTGTTTCCATCGTATCCAACACCGATTTTTTGAGAACCGGAATTGTATTTTTATTTTATTTTTATTAATTGACATCATTATATTTTTGCTACTGTAGAAAACTTATTTACGCGTAGTTTGAATTCAAGTGAGAAAACAAATACCGAATGTTGCGGCAGCAATAAATGATGTTATTAATTTTGATTTAACGGTCGCTGTTAAGAATGCTCAGTAGAATTTCCAAAATATAAAAAAATTATCATTTTGACCAAGACATTAGAATGAATTAGAATTATCTAAGAAATGCTGTTAAATATTTAAATCCAACATAAAACTTTTGACTTTTGTATTTCATTTATTCAATTTCATGTTTAAACTAAAATCACGATGTTGGTATTGTCGTAGCGTAAACATGAAAAAACAGCATAGTAAGTTCGGCATTTATTATTCCGAATTGTGTATTCGTGAAGAAATTACTATATATTTAAAATATATCAATGACAAACGTAATTGCTGATTTTCGCCACACATTCGGTTATTATTTATTCGCACATTTTATGGTTGTTCAAAATGTATGCAAAAATAATCGAAAATGTTTCTACGCTCAAACCAAAACTATATAACAAGTGTTTAATTCGTCTTCGATAACGCAGCGTTAAAATGTCATTACTTACACTGTAAAATTGTTGTCTATCTTATTAGAAGGTGTTACATCTTGAACATTTCAAACATCATTTCTCTCGTTCGAAATTCTTTTTCGCTTACTGCAGTTTGAGCGATTGAGATTGTAACACATGTGAAAATTGCCATTGTAAAAAAAATCATATGGTCTAAATTCAAGTGAATATTCGCATTTATTTTTTTAGTTCAAGTGATTCAAGTAAAGTAAAATAAAACGGCATAAAAATGGCAGATGGATCAAAAAAAGCAAGACTTGTTGCGATGGCGAGTGCATCGAGTTCATTCGACGACGATAGTGGGGTTCATCAAGCGTCTGATAACTCAAGGAAATCTCAAGGTTCATCGTCTTCGGATGACATAGTTGATGATATTGTAAATGAACCGTCGACTACCGTATCGATTCAAGTTCCTGGTTCTACGACTATCGCATCGGTTAAAACTCCTGATGAAGGTATTTTTTCGCCAATGGTGGAAGCGTCAACAAGCATAGCGATCACCATCGAACCGGCGTCACCATCATTGCCCGAACTGACGTCGCATGAAAACGAACTGACGTCGATCGAACCGACGTCGCATGAATTGGTGGATGAAGATGGTTTTGATGTTTTTAATTTTATGGGTCCTCTTCGTGATGATTTAAAAGTGAAGGAACCTTTTCAAGTTATAAAATATAAAGATCGCACATTTCGTTTGAACGTTAAAAAATTGAACGCACTTTTGAGTCCATATAAACATCAAAACCGACGTGTGGTCGTTCTATCGGTTTCTGGTATACTTCGTTCGGGAAAGACTTTTCTTGCGAATTTTTTCATCAAATTTTTGAAAGACAGGGTAAGAATGAAAAAAAAAACACAATGTATGTTAGTTGCCTATAATCATTTCACATTTTCAATAACTGTACATTGTTTGCTGGCATTTAAATAGGCACATGGCGAAATTGAATGATTTTTTTATAACCACAACTTTATACAAATTCTTAGTTTATGGTTTATGCCAATGAAATATTATAATAGTTTAGTATAAAATAGTTTTTCTTTGAATGTCTTTTTCATAATTACATGCGAAAACTGTGCACAGACAATACTGTATTAAACTCACTGATATAATATGTTGCTGTGCACACAATTTACAGTTAAATTTGAGACGAACTCATAACGTAATATCAACGTGCAAACACGTTTTACATTAACCCATGTAATAGTGTACACCAGCTTGAGAATTGAAAGAAAATACAAACATTCGCATATTAAAATATAATATTTATTTTTGCGTATATTTTAACAGTATCAAGAGAACAGAATATGGAATTGGATTACCCATAATAGAGATGAATATGGCAACCTTTTATCCGAACGTGGCTCAGAAATAGTAACAAATGGAATTTGGATGTGGCACGAGGTATTCACATATGGGGAGAGTACTGCAATCATCGTATTAGATACGCAAGGACTATACGGTTATAGATACACTCCCGAAGACACTATAAAGATGCTTGCTCTGACCACACTGCTTTCGACCATTCAATGCCATAATGTGAAGGAACGTTTGACCGAAGATGACTTATTGAGTTTATCATTAGCTACTGATTCTGCAATGATGACTATGGCAAAAGCACACCTGAGCAAACCGTTTCCCGATTTTCATATCATTGTACGAGACTGGGGCGAATTTAACATTGACTCTAATGCAGACATTTTTGAGACATCTATGTTTGACGGACAGCAACATTTAGATTATCTCCTGAATTTAGATCCCACAACAATCAATAACGTCCAAATTGAATATCGCAGAAAAATTGTGGAGAAATTCCCAGTGCTGCGAGCACACTTAATGCCATTCCCATTTTACAATCGAAAAAACATTTCTACATTCGAAAGAAATTTAAATAAGGTTACATCATTATTTCACAATTCTCTCGATGCGTTGGTACCATTTGTTGTCCATTATCCACCCGCTATGATTATCCCTGATGAGAATGTAGAGATGGAAGAGCAGAAAGAGACGCAAACGAAGAAAGAGACGGAAACAAAAAAAGCGACCGAAACGAAGAAAAAGAAGGGAAAAAAAACAGAGAAGAAAGACAAGGAAGATGAGAGAAGAAAGCAACAGACGGAAGAGGAGGAAGAATGGATCAAGAATGACATGAAGCCTAAAAAACACCTACTCCCTGTTACACAGATCAATGGAAAAATGGTTCTAGCAGGCCAATTGGCTGAATACTGGCAAAAATACTTGGATGCTATCAACGATGAAAAGTATCATGAATATTTAAAAAAGAAAATGGAAGCAGAAACGGTACATTATATATTTTTACAACGCATATTACTTATAATACCAAACCTCTAATTTACATATCAGGAATCGGCTCAATTGGGTTATGCAATTTTGACAGCAGAATGCATAAATGAGTATGACACCCGTATGACCGAAAAGTTAATCAACAATGAAATCAACAGACATAGAGTAGATGGATTCATTTATGATGAATCTATACTTGCGGAATTTCACATTGATATAGCAGACAAAATACACAAAGAGGTAAAATCATAGATTCGAATAAAATTGATCAATTTATTTCAATATTTTGAATTGAATTCCTAGTTTAAAGAATTTGCTTTGTTCGTTGGAAGCAAACTGCTTTATGCCAAAAAACGAACAGAACTTGATGCTGAACTTCGAAAAAAATACCTTGCCTTAGTAAAGTCCAATAATGATAATCGGGCCAAATTATACGTATGTGTCTGCTAGGTTTGAATTTTGATGTGATAATATTTAATGAATTTTTATGAACTTTATTTTTTTTTTTTTGCAGAAAAATTTGATCGACAAAAGAGAAAAATTAAGAGAACAATTAATAAATGAATTATATGACACAATTGGCCATCGATATATATACTATAGAGATTTTTTGGATATTTATGAGCCGAAAGTTTGGCAACTGATGCAGGAGGTATGAAATAAATTCATTCGATTTTACATCATCCATGATTTAAATTAACTTCCAATTTATGTATTTTCATTAGTATGATAACGTGGAAAAGCGTGTAACTGAGCACAAAAGATATAGAAGAGATAAAAGATTGACGGAATACCGTAATGACGTTCTTATCGATTTCTACACAGTAAAATATAAATTTTTGATGGAAAACAAAGAGCTCAAGCCAAAATATTTGAATAAAGAAAATGCGTATACTGTAATCGCATGGGCAACGGTGGCTGTGTTCTTCGGCATTCGTCTCGGACCTTTTGGTACATGGGCTGCTTCAATTGGAGATACAATCTTAATGGAAGCTTCAAATTTTCCAAGACTTTGTTTCGTAAAAATCTGTTCGCTGAAGTTCAGTCCATGGAAAGAAATATCTTTTTATGGAAACTGATAACAATCAGAGTTGTTGTGACGCTTGCAAGAATTCAAATTTTCAAAAAATTATTTAACTCTACGATTTATAAAATATAATCAAACAAATCACCAATTGTTTTCTTCTACTCGTGAATATGAGATAGAAAGAGAATATGAGGTACCTTAAAAAAAAAACACAAAATTTTACGTAAAATATTTAATTTCTCGATTTATAGAACAATTAAACAATCAATTCATATTTTTTCTTTTATTTTCTTTTACTCATTTATAATGTGAGTTTTTGTAAATTAAATAAAAAATCATTTCATAATAAAATATTTGAAACTAATTGAATGCACATGATGCTTTTTTATTTGTAATTGAATTTACATCAATTTGTTTTTGAATTTGTTTGCTGATCCGTTGCCAAGTTGATATTTCACAAAAAGTAATAAACTGATATTTTCACATGGATTTTCTCTGATAAATACTTCGAACTCAATGCGGAAATGTATTAATGAATTTAATTTCAATTTGTCCTTTGAAGAAGACAATTTTTTTAAAAATCTTTAAATTATTTACGATTAAATATTATAAAACGAGTCATATGACGTTGCAGTAATTAATGATAATTATAACTGTCTTGTTCTAAATGAGACCAATTGAAGATTGATTGATTTTTCCGCGAGGAAGAAAATACGAAATTAATTCTTAATCAATTCACAGTAATACTTTGAAAATAATATAGAATGACATCGCCGTGCTCATCAAATAATCGATGGACTAATTTATTTAGTGGCAACGAGATTCGCCGCATTACATATTTATATGGTGGATAATAATAACATGTTAACGAAACAAAACACCTTATTCTAGTATAGCTTCAATTTGCGTTGAACCCAGCGGTGAATAAATAATGAATTATTGTATTGTTGAATATTAATTTGCATAATTACATTGAATTTTTGAAACAAACGCCGATATTGAGAAATGTAAATAACATGAAAATGTTACCAACGGTACCTACGAAAATTAAATAAGTTTCACGAAATTAATAATTCCCCGGCCTCCCTTCATTTTGAATTTCGCTTTTTTTCGTACAAAATATCTAGCAAAATATAATGCAAAACTAGCTGAACAACAAATAATTTGCAAAAATAATTGCATTAAAGTAGTTTTGATATTCCCCTATTCTTTAGATTAGATAAAGCTTATGATAAAATATATGTAAAGTTGGTATTGCCAAAAGAAGCCGTTGAATTTGTTTTTGTTTCGCCCTATCGGTGATACTAACTGCTTTAATTCAAAGTATTAAATGGAGTCGCGATGTCTAACCACTCATTCCACTCTCTTTTTTATGAGAGTCAATACACTTGGTTTTGGTGGACGAACGTGCGTAACGTTCGTGTGTTCTCGCATTTAGCAGTGCTATACAAGACGGCCAGTACGACATTACTATTGTGCTTCAGGGGTAAATAAGGAAAACACGAATTTCATGTAACAATAAATTCTGGTAACTGTTTTATTTCTTTTATTTCCACCATAATAAATTCGAAGTATTTGTATATTGTAGTCCCGGTTATTGAACTTACATATGTACATTTTGATGAATCAACGTTGATGGCCTTTTTGATGTTCGTAAGATAGCACTTTCCTATATAATATTGATTGTAAATATGGATATAAATCGAAATTGATAAAAAAACCACTGTAGTAATTATTTCTATAAAAATCGATCACCGGTTTTTATTTGTTACATGGAAAATTTACGTTTGAAAAACAATTATGATGAAAAGCAAATTAATTTATAATTGCAAAATAAATGCTATAAAAGATCCAAAAATTGTGTATTTTTTTAACAAAATATTTTGCGATGTTCAATCATAGAATTGTATTTTTGCAATACATACACATATTCATGCACTCACATAAATCATTTATCGTCGAAAATAAAAACCAATTAGAACAGGTACTAATAAGACCGAAAATTTAAATGGCAATTTAGCTGGAGCTGAGTTACAGCCATCAGTACTGCATAATTCGATTGACGCTTCGCTCAGCTGATGTGATGTATGGTCATCAATTAAACATCCTCGAGTATATTTTATATCGCCACCATCATTAACTTTTTTTTCAAAAAGACAGTTAATTATTTTTAAAATTAATAAATGTCCATCGAAATGAAATAAAATAATGTTTGCATACTTTTTTGCACAATTTTACGGCATTTTTGCATATTTCTATCAGCAATTAGGCTACAATCGGTGACTGACAAAGTGCGATTATCAAACGGATGACCGCAGTTTTTATCCAAATATGAATTACAGTCCCAGCACTTGATGGCAAACGCTATGACAAAACATTCGTTTCTTATTACTTTATTTCAAGAAAAAAAAGATAGTTATTTTCAAGGTTTCACTTACAACTTTGCACAATTATGATCACAAACACACCAACAAGCGGAATATGTATTTTGTTTGAGATCATTTTTGACTGCTTGACGAGAATTGACAAACTATTCTTTTTTATAATAAATTTTTTCAATTTATTCTTTTACCACATATGTATTTAATTGAAAACAAATTGCAATGATGATATATGCGCGAATTATTCAATTTGATAGTTGAAAATGAGAAATAAAGATATAAAATAAAAACACAGCGTGAAGGAGAACCGCGTATCGTGAGATTGCCAAATCAAAAGTTAAATCAACACTGAAACATGTTTTATTCGGCGGGAACGCAAATACTACAACATCGTGGTTGGCATGACATTCAATTAAGTTTTGTTTATGTATGGCCGTTACATTATGTGGCTTTCGTTGTATTGCGCAAAAGCATACATTGAATAAAAATTCACAAGTGAATTACTAAAACAAAGCACATTCAAGTGAACAATTTGCCTACTTGAATGAATTTGCTAACGAGTATGCGACGATCGTTCTAAGAGAATTAAGATTTAATTACACATAAGTTCATTAGACAAAATTTGCTGTGTAAGATGAGCGAGAACATTGAGAATATAAGTAGACGCTACTCGAATGTTTGTCACGTTGAAATGAAAAGTCATTGTGATGATGATGATAATTGTATACAGTTTATTCCATAATAATTTTGTGTTACATTTACGATCACTTCTTAACTAGAAATTACAATTTTTTGTGTGTTTGAATATGAAGTCTCAGATGACACCAGGAAAAAAAACGTCGATCATGTCACATGTGTTTCCACCACTAACACATTACATTTGTACATTTTCATTTCGTTTTCTTTTTCTCTCTTTCTCAAAATTTTGATTATATTTTGTGCAATTTATGTATTTGTTATGCGAAATTTTTTCTTTGTGATAAATTTTATTTCATTTACAAGACGAACGCGGTGCTAGATTTGTCTGAGATATCTGATCAGAATTCCAACCATGAACTTTCAATTATTTTGGTTATATTTTTTAATTATATTGTGGCATTAATGTGTGTGTGTGTCAACTAGAGGGCTGTAAAAAATTGTAAATATTCGCAAATGTTTTTTTTTTGTTTTGTATGTGTAAAAGTTGATTTTTTTTCTCATCTTCTTCTCTCATCGTTTCACGTAAACAAAGGTCATATTTTAAAAAATAGAACTGAATTCGTTAGAAATAATCCATGGTGTGTACGTTAAAAAAATTCGACGTGACCTAAAAGAAATGGCTTTTTTTACTTTCATTGTATTTTTTTTATTGAAATTATCACATAACTTATGTTAGATTTATTGTCACAATTACTAAGAAAGAAAATCGAGATTTTATTTCGAAACTGATTGACTTTCTTCTAATTTAATTGCAGTAATTCTGCGCAATTCAACGGATTCATTATCTCATAGGCCTAGATATTGGTTGTTATTTTTTTCCAGAAGGTTGTCGCGTAATTATCGTTTTCTTCTCCAATTGAGATGTTTAATTTCATTGTTTTCCAATTCCAGAGGGTATAAAATGAATTTGTGGTCTTGCCTTTTTTGTTGTGTGTCGCATTCGAGATAATTTTCTAATGGACATCTTGATATGATTTATCGACCCTTCAAAAACCGCTTTGATAACCTATTTTTTAGTTAATTTCTTTTTTCGACTTTAAATTGACTAATTCAATTGGCTAAATAATTTTGCAAAATTTCCAATCTACATAATTTTTTTTTTTAGTTTTATTCTGAAATGCTTATCCAATAATAGCAAAACATAATTGAACGTTGAACAATGAGAAAAAAAATTGTTTAGCTAAAAATAGGAAATGTGCAAATCACCAATTTGTTTCATCTTTTATTTATCTGCCTAATTAAGTATATTTTGCTAATAAAAAACAATTGATATATGTGTTTCGCCAATTAATTCCCCATTTTTGGATTGAATTCAATCGAATTGAAGCATTCAAATGAAAATGTCATCTTCACATTGTAAGGCAAAAATTAGAGCGAACAAAAAAACAATTGACAGGCATATTTTTAGTCATTTTTTTTTCCTCAAATTTACTTTTCTGTCAAAAAAGATAATGATCCATCAGAAGTTTCTCAATGAATATGCTATTCATAAAAAAATGAGAATGGAATTCTATTATCTTTTTGAGACGATATTATAAGCTTACAGTTCTATGTGATGTCATTTATTCAAAAATCGTACATTATAAGTATAAAGTAAGATACGGCAGATATGACGACTATTTGAGTTTGGATTTTATTTCCGTTTTTAATTCTCGTTTTCAATACGAAAACAAAAGGAAACGTTTCTTCTTCGTAGTTTCCCATTTTCATTCAATTGTTATGTATGTGTGTGTGTGTGTTAGTTTCACCTATTTTGATAGAAACAGAAACCAGATTTTTAAGAATTATGGTGCTATTAACTATTTACCAGTCTTTAACAATTTGTTCCACGCATGGAATTGAGAGCAATATTTGCAGTTCAATGTACGTTTATTCCAACATTGGCATCGTTTATTTAACTGATAGTTTTGATTATTATTTTTTGTTTATTTTATGGTTTTAATGTAATTGAACGATCTTTCCGTCCGTTTTGGTGTGAGCTGTAATTGTTCTTCGAATTGTTTTGAATGGAGAACATCAAAAGAGGAAATAAATGTCAAATAGACACTTTATTTGGATCGCATTAATCCCTGAGGATCACCTACGAGCACCTATTCTTATATTGTATATATATACCTACTAATAGTATTATTATATTTCAAATCAAAAGTTGTAAGTTTAGTTCTTCATCTCTCGTTTTCAATTGTCTTTGCGATTTACGATAAAATGTGTTACGATAAATGATAAAGTAGTTGGGCAAAGAGCATAAATAATAATAAAAATTAAATCCATATTAAATCGATTCCATTTGCTCGGAGAGTTCTAGCAAAGGGCTTTCATTCAATGGTTGTAGTATTGTTGCTGAAAGTGAATGTGGCCAGGGTGGTATTATGTTCACCTGGAACGAAAACGCCGATGTCATAATCAATAAAGCATATTTGTTTTCTTATTGTTCGGCATCTAGTTCATGCTCGCCTTTTTTTTTTGTTTAAAATACCATCGACAAGAATTTTATTCAAATCAACTCACAGAAGCATATTTTAACATTCATGAATCATGAAAAAACTTGCAACAGTTTGCGGGCTCTAAAGAGATTCAAAAACATTAGCTACTATTTAACATCGATGACATATGTACGACATAACTGAATGTAAATTCCTTGAAATATCCACAACAATATCAAGTTCATTGTGTGAAAAATCACTTCACATTATAGTGGTGATATAAAAGATGCATCATTTTTTGTACACAGTTAAGCTGCTAGTTTTGACAAGAATAATAAACAAGAATATATGTTGGTATGTAATCGAAAGCATTCTATAATTTTCAAATAAAAATTAATCAGATAAGAAATAAAACTACTGCAATGCTATTGACTGTTTTTCTTATAAAAAAACAAATAAAAATGACTAGATTTAATTCGTCTATGCAAATCATTGTGGTTATTCTACAAGTTGTAGTTAATTAATTAATGTATACAAAATCTTTAACATTCTACCGAACATAAAATTAATGGCAATAAATACAAAATGTTTGAATACAAAACGCTTTTTTTTTACTACATTTGTATGTTTTGGTTAAATTATACAATAAAATTCAGAATCGTTACCGAAAAAAAGAAAACGCGATATTTTTTGAATATACTTCTACTGGTTAGAAAAGTATACCTGAAAAGATGGCGTTTGTGCAGACCATCCGTTCTCTGCGACCATTGGATTTTCGCTAATTTGACATGTTTTCATTGAACCGGATATGGTGTTCCAACTATCGGCCACATGACCCGGTGAATGTAATGGTTTTTGCATTGTTTGTTGTAGATGCGATGTTTTTATCATTTTTGGAGATCCATTTAATACTGGCGATAAACTGGGCGACTTTGATGACTGTGAAACATATAAATGTGGACTTTTTGGTGATGATCCTTCGACTAACGCTTGAAATGCAAGCAAATCTTTCGATTCAACTTCGCTTAGTGGTAATGATAACGGTGGCAATACTTGTTGCTGTTGTGCCAATTTATAGCTTTGTTGACGCAACATTTGTCGTCGACTTAAACCATTTTCCATTGCAACTTGTTTCTGAAGAACTTGTCGCTTCTGCTGAAGTAAACGATGCTGCATGAGTTGCTGTTGTAATGGCGGCTTTTGTAATGCAACACATTGCTCGTTCATTTTATTCATATCACGACCAATGTCATATTTGCATGGGTAAATTGCTAAATCGCCGGCCTTATTGAAGTGCCCTTCGCAGTTTTTATTCAACGGTTTCGGTGTGTCGTGGAACAGTATATGCTGCATTTGACGTGCCGTCATTTCATCGAGCGTTACATTTGCCTGATACTGGGTTTTAAGTTGGGACGCTTCTTTTTGAAGTAAATGCAATTCAAGTACACCTTTTGCTTTATCATGCAATCGTTGACTGTTGAATGCAATTGTTGCATCTACTGAATGCTCTGACTTCGATTGTAGTATACCTTGTGCCACTAGACCATCAGACGCTCTCCGACCCTCCCTATACGAGAAGAGTGACAAAAATCAAAACATACATTCGGGCATTTTATTTGATAAATTTTTTTGTGTGCATAGGAAAACCAAAAAAATATGTATATGTATGTGTGTGATATGCACGCATTCGAAATTAATGGTTTTTTAATAAATATTTAGTTAATGGCTAAATTGATTGAAAATGGAATATGAATTGAAGAATGAAAATTATACCTAAAATCAACGGGGGATCGTGTGGTTGGTCTACAACTATCGCACAAATGTTGTTTGTAGCCCAATGGATTTTGACGGGAACATTGTAACTTTCCAGACATTGACAGACAAACCGATGGATGAATGGTAGAAGCACTAACCACAGGTCTACAAACTGTATTAATATTTTGTTTTGGAAAACATGTAACATTAACGTCTTTAACAAATGATTAGATTAGGTTCTGTTTTTTTTTTCTTTTTTTTTTCAAAATGAATGAAATTAGTGAGAAATGCATTTTCATGCGCAAAATACAAATGTCATTATTACTATGCATCATTCACATTTGATGACATCAACAACAACAACAACAACTCAAGCATTAATAGTTTAAATGGCAATGAAAACAAACATTGGAAATGATTTTTGAAAAAAAAAAAAAAAATTGAAATAACATGAATAAATAATAAGAATTTATTAATTTCAATCTGAATGAAAAAAGTATTTCAACTTAAAAAGCAGCAATGATTTACCGTGGTCTTTTGAATTATCATTAACTGTTGCAATACTGGTCGCACATGATGGTAAACTAGCTGCCAAATCACTACAGTCCGACAGATTTAAATCTAAACTTTCAAATGTTGAAAAATTACTGCGTGATGATTCGCAACTTAAATTTTGGCTCAGACTTTTTGAATGGAAATTTGTGACAACACCACTTGACGAACTGCTGCTTGCATACGAATTGAGCCGTTGAATTGATGGTGGTACTGATGGCTGAACAACATCTTCCATTTCACCGTGATCTGTGTCACATCCTTCATCTGTGCTCGAACTGCATTGTTGAATGATTTGTGAATGTCGTAGCATTTGAATTGTACTAGAATCTCCTTCAATCGCTGGCGTATAGCTATTGTATGGCTGCATTCCGCTTCGAATATCTTTTGGCGGTGCCAATTCCTTGCTCGACACCTCACTGCAACGAATTTAATGTGAAAAAATATTAGTATTCCATTGGCATTAGGTATACATTGAATTGAATTTAATACAAACCCAAGTCTGGGTGACATTTCTCTAGCCGGCGGCAAAGTTGGTACATTTATCTCTGGATTTAGTACAACATGTGCGTTTTGATTTGATGCATACTTCGATTGGGTGTCCATGGCTTGAACCTAACGAACAATGATAACACAAAGCTCATATAAAATGTTAAGGAAAAGAAAAACTTGAGAGTAGCGCTATATTCAACCTGTTCTGTGCCTATTGGTAAAGGGCTTTGTTGCAGTGTATAAAACAATTTCGACGCTTCTGCGGACATTTGGAAACGATGGCAAAAATTTGGAATACTAGATTTCGAATCGAAACTATTCGATGTGCTGAGCGCTCTGAATTGTGGTGGTGGCGGTGGTTGTGCAGATAATCCATTCGAAGGATGTTTTGGTGGTGTTGTGCCCAATTCCATGGTAGTTGGTTTCGTTGATTGTGCACGAATCGGATCTGTTACGACAGCTGTTGCCTGAAAAAAAAAACATTTTTGTTAATTTGGCCTCGTTACACTACTTTTACGGTAGAAAAAGTATATAACATACCTGCTGTAGAAGACGACGGCAGTCTTCAGTGCTTTGTTTCATGATGCGTTGATCCAAACCGGCTGTCATTAGAAGTCGATTTGAAGAGGCTCGATGTTGATAGGCCCCATTTGGACCCATCTCACGAGAAAGCAGCACACTATTTTCACGGCCTGTTGTTGCAAGGCTGCTGTATGCACCACCATATGGTGAATGAAAGTCACGACTACTTCGTTCTCGACTAGAACCATGAATTGGCGTTCCACAAAATATCCCACCATTGCTGTCACGTAAATAGTGTAACGTAGACGAAACAGTCGCTGATGGTGATGGACACTGTTCGCGTATGCTTGTATCGCGTAATGTCATCAATGATGGCATTGGTTCTAGAGGAAGCTCTGTACTCGACGCTAACGTTGAATGATTATTAGATATGCCCAATTTACGCATCGCCTATAATATTTGAAAGTGTTTAATTTGTATGTGTTTTAATTGAGTTTCGATCATTTGACGTAATACCTGTTCGGCAATCGACGATGGTCGTCTTCGTTGTTGCTCCAATGTTGGATATGGATTTTTCACTGAATGCATATTCACTACTTGTGTTCCATTCAACTGACTATTCGATAATCCGATGTTGTTGTCTTGTGACACAGACCGCGTTCGCAAACGTTCCAACAACAATAAATATATGGCCGCATGGTGGTCATAGTTGTTTAACTGATGAAAAAAAGAATTAATTAATATTTTTCTAAATCACAAAAATCGGTCATGCAAAAAAAATGTATTCACCTTAAGACTTTCGCAAGTCTTTTGTGCGTCGATGCCTAACCCGGCCATTAGTCTTAGGATTTGTTCATTTGGTTCAGTAATTGCTGTTCCATTTCTAGCTGAAACATTTTGGTTATCACATGCTAATGAGATCGGATCCATGACTTCAACCAACATCCATCGATGATGTTTAATTTGTTCAATCGTGTAACGGCGATGTGGATCAAGAACAAGCATCTTTCGAATCAATGATTCACAATCTATTTGGCAAAAGAAATGATATCATCGTGTCAAACAAACTGTTTTCGAATTTTTTTTTTCTCATTTACCAGATGACATGAAAAATGGTATACGAAATCGTCCAGATAGAACACGGTCACGCAATGACTGTAAAGTTGATCCATCAAATGGCAAAGCGCCACAAACTAATACGTACAGTACAACTCCCAGTGACTGAATTAAGAAGGAAAATGGTGTTGTTTTTCACATGGCTATAAAAGTGTTAAATGCATTGCTGTTACTTACCCAGACATCAATTTCAGGACCAACATATCGTTTACCCTCAAAAACCTTTAGATAAAAATCCAAGTAAATGGCTGAGTATTTCTTTTTTCAACAAAAAAAAAAACAACAAAAAGAAGCACTACAGCTTATTAAGTCAACAATCGTCTTACTTCTGGAGCTGCGTATGGCGGGCTACCGCACCACGTTGCCAACAATTCGTCTGGGTGGAAAAAGTTTGAAAAGCCAAAGTCTGCGATTTTAATCCGCATATTTGAGTCCAGCAACAGATTTTCAGCCTTAGATAAAATAAATAGTTATTTGATTAACAAACCAAAGCATGGACAAACATGCGGCATTAAGTCCAACTAACCTTTAAGTCCCGATGAACAATTCCACGTTTGTGACAATATTCGACGGCAGAAAGGATTTGCCAAAACTTTTGCCGTGCTGCACGCTCACTCATTTTTCCATAACGAGCAATATAGTCTGTATGAGATTATCGGATTTAATTAGTTGCTACAGTTCAAACATAGTTCACAATATAAACATAATAACGTACCGAAAATTTCCCCCTTCGACGCATATTCCGACACAATGTAAAGAAATGAATGTGTTTCCATCACCTTCAGAAATAAATGGCAAGACATGAGCATTTGGACATTTATTTTTGTATTTTAATTTATTTTCCATACCTGATACAGACGAATGATGTGCGGATGATCTAATCTCTTCATGATTTCAACTTCACGATAAACTTTCTCCAAATTTCCACTGTCCAATTGTGACTTATCAATAATTTTAATGGCAACCTATCAGAAATAGAAAATATTAATCAATAACATTTGAATAATATTTGGTTTTTTTTTTAATAAAGTTTGTCGGAATGAGGTGATTTGTCTTGCCATGAGACATAGATCGTTAAATTCTTTACGTGCTGATAAAATCATATTGATAATAAACGAAATTTATGGAGGAATATGTTCATAGGAATTGGATTAAAATCGCTACAAATATATGTATACAGTTTTGTTGAAAATCGATCAAAAAAAAACAAAAACAGCCCCATTTATAAATATATAGACGAATAAATTTCTTATCAATTAAGTCTAGACAACAAATATTGCTGAAGTGTACAGTACTTGTTTTTTGTGATCGAATGGGTATTTGAATGTAAGAGAAATTGGACTTTTACCCTATTCAGCCTCGTCATTAATATAAAGACGAAAAATACCTAATCAAATGAATATTACATGCATAGACCATTTCAAGTTGAAACCTAACTCTCCGAATGAAACATATTTCAACTTTTTTTTTTCGTTCATAGCGTTAGCACTGAATGTGTGTCAATGTGCTACAAATATATAACCGCAATTGAACAGATTGGTTGCAAACTTTTTTTTTTGCATGTACCATGGTTATCAAAAACTTTACGAAATTGCATGCATATACACCCCATCATAATGAGTTGACACATTGCTGTTGATAAAAGATAGTCTGTATGAAAGGAGCTGCAAAAAAAGTGAAGTGTATACTTTCATTTGAATAAGAAATTGCACACGAACGTGTCTCAAACATCGCAAGATGTGTGAAGCAATTTCATTGTGCCAACTTATATCTATCCACATCTATCGAAATAGAAAATAAACACCATACACCAGTATTTGGTGAATTTAAGTTGAGATTTCAGTAAACAACGGTCTACCGTCGTCGCATATTCTACAGACATCATTCGATACGCGTCAGACTTGACTTTATACCGTCGCACACAAGCAAAGGCTCATAATACAATATTGACGTCAATATGACGTAAATACACACTATACAAATTGTATTAGTCAGTCCAACTCACACACACACACACAAACACATTCAAACGTCGGCGCGCAACCGTTTCAATCTAATACAATAGAAATAGTATGTCAGTAAGTAATGACATTATCACTGTATCTCTTAGCTCTCAACTTACGCACGAATGAGAAATTATATATGTTTTGAAAATCAATAAAAAAAATCAGAGAGCTGTAGATATACTAGAATACCATTTCTGGTGCGGATGAGATGGGTAAAGTATTTTTTGTCCTTAAATGTTTGTCGTGCATTTGAAGTGCTTTGAGCCATGAATATGCTAATAGGTGAGAAACGAGGGCAAAATTAAAGAATCTATAATGAATTCTAAACGCGGGGGAAGCGCAAATAAGTGTACGGACGAGAGAGTTGATAAGCAACGAAAGCGCTTGTGATAACTGCTGTGGCATGTGTTGCGGTCAAAGTCAAAGTAATATTGTACTAATAATTTCTATTGTGCATTCCCACTTACGTCGAAATCGGAATCTCAATTACGTAAATAATGATGCTAATTCTTATTTTTTTTTTTTTCAAATGTAGAGCTCACAATCGAACATTTGAAGAATGTCATCTTTACTTTTAGAATCTACAATGATGCATCATTGCCATATCATCGCATTCATACCTGACGTTAATACAACATGATTATTCGAAAGCCCTAAAATTTCTGACGTTCGCATTTTAAATGTGAGAAGAAAAAACAACAACAAAACAATGATTAAAGCTATCACGTTAATTGGCAATAGACAGCTTGTACAATCTACAGTATCCAATTCTGAATGATTGCATCAATGTTTCATTCCGAACGAATTCAATTAAGCGGTTATAAATCTATACAGTTCAGCCCTGCCTTAACATTGACATTGCCTTTGAAAACTTCTAAACTATTCAAATCGCTTGATAGTATTCGTCTATTGACGCACGAGAGAGTGAAAAAGAAACGTTAACCACATACAAACATATTTCGTAACATATATATTTTGGTATCCAAACGAATAAAAACAGCTGTAATCTACATATATGTGTATGTATATCATTGTAAAAGAATGCATAATTGTCGCTATTTCAACTGCGCGAAAAAAATAAACCAAAAATACATTTTGTGGCTATTTATAAAAATAACAGTATAAAAACAGAAACATCATATCTTTTCTTCCCTTTTATGTAAGACCCAGTTCGAATTGATATCAGTCGCCGTGAATTTTTTCACTTTTCTATTTTTAACGAGATCTTAAACCTACTGAAATAGCCGCTTGTCGTTGGATATTTTTTTTTTCATTTTCTGCGCAACGAGATCTTGAGGTTTTTGAACACATGATTCATTTGTTTATTATCGTCACCATTAACGTCATCGGACGGCGAGGTGCACGCGAATCTAGATCGAAATTAAGATTGTAAATCATTCAATATATTCGTTTAAAATGTTTATCCAAATACTCAATTGAATAAAGAGAGAAGGAGCACACGCAAACACACACACATTTTCCCAATTTCCTGCTGAAAATAACAAATGAGAAATCTTCATGCAAAGCGAAAAAATGTATTTGAAAAACGCAAAGTTTCGTGCAGATGTGAAGTTCAATACGCTTCTTTTCCTCACATGACGTCAATCGCGTTGATATATCAATAGCGGCTTAATTACAACAATATTCTACGTAAGTCTTATTGAACTTAATAAAAGCCACTCATAACTCTCTCGACTTGGTGACAATAAGGCATTCGTTATTTTTCTCGTTGTTTTTTTTGCCTTCTCAGCAATAAATATAAACAATACAATTTTCATGTGTGTTCATTGAATAATGTAAGCTTTCCTATTGTTTTGTTGTGCTTTAACTTGGCATGTTACGTTGCCATATATATTATTATCATTATATATTCGCCCCATCCGCCCCATTTCAATCAAAACCACAAATAATAGAAAAGAATGTGAAACTTACCTCATTCTTAGTGATGCGATGTCGGGCCAATTTAACAACCGCAAAATTACCCTTGCCGATAGTACGTTCAATATCGTAAAATCCAACTCGAATCGGTCCTTTAGCCTTCATCGTTGTTCGAATATTCGCCGGTATTCCATTTGAATTATTCAATGTTCCGCTATTAATCCGATTCACGTTGTTGCCACTGATGTTTGTAATTGCCATATTACTCAACGGATTTACACAACTAACGCTGCCATTATTGTTTGTACTACCACTTATATTTATAGTACTCGCATTTTTTGAATGTACCGGAGATGTACCTGATGTACCATTTTCAATTTGCAACGATGCTGGTACATTTTGAATGCAAACGGGTGCATTACAACTTTGGATGATTTGTTGCGAGCTATTTGGATTCGATGACATCTCATGTTCACCCATTTTTATAGGCGAATTTTAAAGTTACAAATTTTAAATATTTTTTTTTGCTTGTTGTTGACTTCCTCTATTCCCAATCAAGTCATAAGAATCTTTGTTGTAGACATACACTATGGTATATTCAACTCAATTGATTAATTTCCTGGATCCATTATAGTATTGCGTTCCATTTACATATCTAAATAAATATGCATATTAAAATCCGTATGAAAATGCGTTTTGATTTGCGTGCATCGATTCGAAACGCGTCCAAACAAGATTCACTTTCTTTCAATGCGTATATGGGTTCAACAACAATTGAAATACGTTAATTCTGCAAATAAAAAAAAGAAGAAAAACAACATTTTCAATTATTAGTTTGCACATTGCGAATAAAATCATGTTTTTGATTTAAACAATGCAAATTTACATCTATTCCATTGGTTGTCAATACTTTTTAAAAACAGCTGGATTATAAGTGTGAATGTTTGAGATTTTGAATTTGAAAGAGCTTTATTGGTCAGATCAAGGCCAATTTTTGTTGATTTTCAGCAGATTTGCCGACGAAATATATATGAGATTTAAATTTTGTATATGCAAAATTCCGGTTTTTTCTTACATTCGCCCGTTATCAGCACGGTTACTTTTATTCGGTTTTTTTTTAAAGAATATACGCTGAGCATCTTATGCATAATTCAGATTCGATATCTTTTTATCTTAACTATTTATTTAAAGCGTTGACATTTTTATTTATAGAATACAACGTCAATTTGTATTTAAATAAAAGCGAATTTTACTGTAATTGCCTTCAATACAATTTTATGATTGCTACTGAATTCTCAAAAACATTCCATAGTCTTATTTTTATCCCAAAAAATGCCTGTAATGTTGTTACAGTTTCATTTTCTGAATTCCACCTGCTCTTTGTGGTAGATGTAACATTATTACTCAAATTGTACACGTTAATAATGAAGCAGCAATTAAAATTTCGGTTATCTTTGACAGATATATAATTAACGGAGAATGTGTTTTTTTTGTGAAAATATTTATCTTTGTAAAAATGGTTTCAAATAAAATTGAATGTGAAAGCCAGATAAATTCACTAAGACAATCATTCAAAAAAACAAAATGTTTGAATTTTCACCATATTAGGATAGGAAAGTTTCGCCACCTTTCCAAGTGAACATTGTTTTCGTGCAGTGGCCAATGAGAATGGTGTTAATTTGACACAAAAACAGTGGAATCGTCAATAATTTTGTTATGAACTTTGTCTAAGCATTCAATTTTTTTCCACAATAGGTTTGTGTGTTTTTTTTGTGCTTTGCCAAACAAATGTCGCTGCTGATTATTATTTATTATTGGAGTGACGTTTTGAGGCCAACTCTGTGTTCTATATAACATTAGCTTATCAAGCAAATGGAACATGAATGTATCGCCTCCTCAACTCAAATTTTGACAATTTTTTTTTTTTTTACTTTTTCAACCCAACATCGGATTGTATATACGTATCTTCTATGGTCGTGCGTCATGATGCTGAAAATCAATAAATCGCACTACATTATTAAAAATGTTCTCTTTTGTTTCCTTATTCTTTTGTATTTACATTTTCAAAGTACGTAACACACTCGGAACTACATTGTTGGATGGCTATGGTTACACAAGTTGGTATTTTGTTGTGTCAGAAAATTTAAACGAAGTTTTCACTTTTTCACTGTTCTTCGCTTTGCCGCATATCGAGTGCTAATTTTTTATTGACTTTCTCATTATCATGTTTTTTATGCATGAAGTATATTTTCGCGTGAATTTAACAAAGTAATTTCAATCTGGCTCATACATAAGAAGCTACAGAATATCTTTACTTCCAAATTGTTTACAGACACATAATTAATTTTGCACATTTCTAGTTATTAACTAGTAGTTAATTGGTTTAGATCTCAAACGCAATTCTCGACATCTTTGTCGTGTTATTTTGGCTGGTTGGTTCCAAAGCCGTTTTAAAATTTGTATTTTCTGATTTTGTAATGTTTTGATGGAGTTTTACAAACACACACACATGATGAGATAAATCTACCTGATTATCACTTTTGTTTGATTAGGCGAGATTAGTTAGTCGAAATAAAAAGAATGTTGTTAGTAGTAGCTTGCTTCATCTTTATCTGTCATCAAATGTAGCACGGATATCTCGTGCTCGGTGCAAACAATTGCTTTTAATCAATCACACTACACACAAATAAATCTCGATTCTCTTCAAAACCGAAAGTTACAAAAAAAGCAAACAAATGAACATAAAAACTTTACCGACAAAATTGTGTTTTTGATTGTTTTTTATTGCAGTGGCGCGTGTATCATGAGCCAAATCAAATTTCGCTATACTTATAACGTCTGAAACGATTGAAACAACACAAAAATGATCCGAGGTCTGGGATCCACGGCGCACCGAATCACACTGAATCTCAAACACTACAGTGCTCTTCTTTGCGTTGTCACCGACGTCATTGTGCTGAGCATACATGTGCTGGTGTTTAGCGTTCGTGTAAACACGGTCGATTGCTGTTTGTGAGTGTGAATTTTTTTTTCCGCCTGCGTAAAGAGAGCGTTTGAGAGCGTATTCACGTGTGTATTGTCAATATAAATTATCATTCATAGTATATTATATGTTATCAATAGAAGAAACCGTTTTACAATGCGAATAAACCAGCAAAAATCGTATATATGTGTTCTTTTTTTTGGTATTGCTATACATTTGTGGAGGATGACGCGCAGTCTAGATGAAAATATAGTCGCATTTTTATAAAAAGTATATGCGCTAAGTGCTATAGTGACGAGTTTCCATGTCTCGTTAAATAAACCTATAGCCAACAGCTAAAGAGTTTGAGCTGGTGGTGGACGTTCGTCTGTGAATGTCTAATAGCAAATATTTTTCGTGATTTTCTAGCAGAGAGATGGAAAGAATATATCGGCGGCCACACACGCATGCCGTTTATTGTGCAATGATTTTTTTTTTTCTATGCAAATAAAGCGAAGTCTGCAGATTTATGAGTGTCGGCTGAAATGTCTAAGCCGTTAAAATTGAACTCGGCTCAACATACAATGCTAACACTCTGTCTCATTCATATGCACACACGTCGCACAAATATTGTTAGAACTCTTTTTTTTCTCTTTAAATATCAATCAATTAATTTCTGGGTCACTCTAATAAAATTGGTCAGATGTTAACTGAAGTATTTTAGTCATATTTTATTTGTGCATGTTTCAATCAACAACATGCAGTGCTATGAGTACGCCAATTTACTGATGGAATTTTTTTTACATTTTTCCTCTTCCCCAAAACAATTTTAATGAATAGTAATTTTTTACGAGTATAAATAAAATCACTAGCACGATTGCTGTGTTAAAGATCAGATGCAAAAAAAAAGAATTGCTAGAAAAAATGTTAGCATGAAAAACGTTTCGCGAACGTACATTTAGCACTCCTACACAATGAATGTGAATGTGAATTAACAAAAACATGCTAAGACAATTGTTGCCTTGTACTTGAAACAAGGACAAGACAGAAATGTGCAGTATATCATTGAACTTAAAATGTAAAGTGTGTTTTCTTTGTATGGTTTAACGTGATTGAGTTTGCACGTTTTGCTTCAAGCTTTCAATTCAATATTTATAATGGCTTTTCTTTTCATTTGAATACATTTTGAAAACACACCTTTTAAATTTCACTTGACAAATAATTGACGAAGAAGGGTCTATAGTCGGTTTTCCAATTCAGATAAGCTCAATCGGCAAACAAAAACATGCTTTTCAACATTTGTTTTATTACTCAACAAAATAAATTCATTTGAGATGATGGTAGTGTCTGCAATCTGCATCAAGCATTAAATGAAACAAAAAGAAAAAAAGATTTGTCTTTACATGATTTTCAATGTTCATCTCATGTGAGCTGCGATGATGGAAAATTCAGGTTAGTAGTTATAAATGCTGCAACTGCTGCATTTGATAAATAAATCAGTAAAGTTCGTTGAACTTTTTTCCCATTCACTGTAATGTGCCTGAATCGCTACTAACTGGGATAATATGCGTGCCGAACGACCGATACATATATACATATACATATAAAATGATGGTTAGGCTGGAGTGTATTGCATAACGCAGTACAACACCATTTGGAAGGATTTGCGTGTGCCTCTGGCAGGCTCAAGTGTGTTCAGTTATTTTAACAATTCAACTGAAGAGTTTCATGGGGTTGAAGACAAGAGGAGTGCTAAGTATGATAAATGAACACACAGAACATCGAATGGGTATTCAATGAATTTTCAGCATTTCAATTTACTTCAAATCAATGTAACTGGTCATTAAATATGAACAATTTATATCATCGAAGTCAATTATGCTTGTTGATTTCGGGTTATGTGTGAAAATTGAAAATAATACCATACTTACGACATGGAATTGATTGAGATTATAATAATTGATCAGCGCTAAGTTCACTGCTTGCTTTGTTGAAAATGAGATAGAAACCCCTTCAAATACTGTGCACCTTAATACATATTCACATTTTTTTCAATACAATTTGTTTTGCCACCGCTTAAACTATCCGAATTTTATGTAAAAAAATTTCATTCACTTATCAATATTCTTATATTTATTCCAAATTATGGTAATTATCTTGAAAATAAAAACAATTGTAGAATTTATCTTCACTTTATTTCACATGGAAAATTCAGTGGTTTTTTTTTGTTGTTATGAAAAATTTTCATCAGACGTGCGTGCGGTCTGAAAATTTTCCTACGAATCAACCAAATTCGCATACCATAACTCAGATTTCTTTTTTTTTTGAACTGTGAGTATGTGCGATTGTATATGTTTGTATGGATATACACAGATTTGTGTAGATGTGTGGGTTATTTGCGATTTAGCGGAGAAATCAGTACCGTTGTTATTGGCAACAATATAATTCGGTGTTACAAATACATTTGGGACATGCGCTCAAACTTCTCCTTTACCGTCACAAACCATTCGAAATTGGTGGTTCGATTCGATTCACATGAGCTATCTATTCTGATGGCAAATTATTTTAAATAATTCAAATATTGCATGTGTGTCGTTCCGTTCGTTGATGATTTATATAAAACCGAACACATAAATATCGCCTATGAATAACATATGAAGAACATTTTGAATATTTGATCATAACTGAACATTTTTTCTCTTTATTTTTGTTTTGTTAAACATTGTTGTTTTTTTTTTATTATTCTTCACTTTAAATTGAAATATTATAATGAGATGTTACAATAAGAAAGTCGTATGAAAAAGATGGAAATGATTTATTTGTAAAATTCGTGTTCTTGTTCATCTTTTTTGATGTTATTTTTGTAGCCCTTTTCAAAGTCTTTGGCTAGAACGATATAACGATTTTCTCTAACCGCATGCATACCGGCTTCTTGGCAAATGGCATTGATATCAGCGCCAGAGATTTTATCGGGACGAGCCACATAATCTTCCAAATCGACATCTTCGGATAAGTTCATTTTTGCCGTAATCGTTGTGAATACCAAACGTTTTTGACGTCGATCCGGCAATGGAAATTCAATTTTACGATCCAAACGACCCGGACGAAGCAATGCCGGATCGAGTGTGTCGGCACGATTGGTGGCCATGATTACTTTAACATTGGTTGTTTGATCAAAACCATCCATTTGATTAAGCAATTCAAGTAAAATACGTTGAACCTCACGATCAGCGCCGGTTTGTGCATCAAAACGTTTCGTTGCAATCGCATCAATTTCATCGATGAAAATAATTGCTGGTGAATTTTCTTTTGCCAAACGGAAAACATCACGCACCATACGTGGCCCTTCGCCCAAATATTTTTGCACGAATTCGGAACCAACGACACGAATGAATGCAGCGGTTGTATGATGAGCCACCGCTTTGGCCAACATCGTTTTACCACATCCGGGTGGTCCATACCTAAAACAATACACAACAAATGAATTTTCATCAAATAAATTTGCGAAAAAAAAATTATCAAAACAAAACAAAAAAACGTCAACCACTTACATCAAAACACCGCGAGGTGGATCAATACCAATTTGCTTGTAGAGTTCAAAGTGTGTTAATGGTAATTCGACTGCTTCACGAATTTCTTGTTTTTGCATATCCATGCCACCAATGTCTGCGTATGAAATGTCTGGCTTTTCATCGGGTTGCAACATTGAAATTGAACTATCCGCCTCTGGTGGCAATACATCGACCAATGCATTGCTGTGTTTGTGCAACGCAACACTGGCCGATGGCTTTAACAGTTCACGATCGATTGTTGACAAAATGCGTACATAGTAATTTGAACCGGTGGTTGAACCAACAATACCAGTATTCTGATCAACCGCTTCCAAAAACTGTCCGATTACCAACGGAACCGACTGAATACGTTTTACTTCTTCTTGAGCATGAAGATATTCTTTCTTTAAATTTCTCTGTTCATCTTTGATGTATTCCTCTTGCACTTCTAAAAACTCCAATGTCTTTTGGAGTTTCTGTTCGATTTCAAAATCGGAAAAAATGTAAAATGTTTTCTTTGTTAGATTTGTTATGATGACACAGGACAAATTGAACATTGTTGAGGTTATGTTCGTATTTGGAATTTTATGCTGAACGAAATTTATTGAATTTACACTACGTACCTTTAATTTTACATACAAATCTTCGGTGTCCAAATCCTCAAGTGTACTATGAGTCACATCTTTTGTGGCTTTGAGATCGGTCATGACCTCATCCTGAAATCATAAAATAAAACAATACATTATTACATACTCTATTATGCAGTCGCTTGAGACAAACACTTTAATTATTGTTTTTATTTCGAACAGACAAAAATCAAATACACTTTCAACGATTGACAATAAATTGAAATGTTCAATTCTTTGCTTGAAATTGATTAATTTTTCTTACTTTTTCCGGAATAATAACATCCACTTCAGCCATTGCGAGAAACTTTTTGTGATGACTTGTATCTTTTGTTGAATATTTGATTGACATAAATGGCATTTGCTAGAGGTCGCTACCAACCACTATAAAAAACGTAAACAAACGTCAAATGTCAAAACGAATGTGTTTGGACTTTCGTTTTGTTTGTCGTAATCGGTTGAATGGAATTTGAAAAAGAATTTATATATATTTGTTATTTTTTGAAAAATGTTACCCAATCCATTGGATTTTCATCGCATATGTCGAATATGTTTATCAAATTCAGAAAATTTTGTGAAATTGGTCAGTTTGAGAGAAGACTTGAAATGTTTACTTGTATCAGTAACAGCATTGTCTGTACGTTGGTATTTATAATATGTATTTGTTTTGGAGCAATATTTGAATTTATTTTCGCCTAAATTTCAGATGATCGTCGATGATGATTTGCCTCAAAATATCTGCGCATTTTGTTCACATCAAATTCAATCCATTCGTTATTTCATATCAAAATGTCAGGAATCAGATCGAAAATTACGTGAATCTATTCAGATAACGATGGATAAAAGTGATGAGGATACATTTCAAAATGATGCTCTGAACAGTACAGATTTTGATAATGATGATGAAATTGATAATAATCAAACAGTAAGCCCAACTCAGGATGGATCGAACGCTACAGGCTATCGAACACAATCAAATCCAATTAATAATAGTAAACAGATAGATGATGCACTTTGCCACATAGATTCAAAGTAAAAAAAATGATTTTGAAGAGACTCTCAAATGGGACTAACTGATTTTTGCTCTCATTGTTTCAGAGCTTCGAATTGCACGACCGAAAATCCATCTAACGAGACGTATAGTCACATTCAAGAGATATCAATCAACAATGCAACAAATGTTGAAAGCAAGCCGTTAACATTGAAAAATGAATGTCATGTATGCAATAAAAAATTTGCCAACGCCATCAATTTGGAGAAGCATAAAGCAATTCATGAGAATAGCAAAAGCAGACCAAATTCATATCAGTGTACAGTTTGTGGTAAGATAATGCAAAAAGTATTCCTTGAATGCTGTTTGCAATAAAATTAGACAATTATGCCGTGTATTTAATCGGGTTTTATTTTATAGGTAAACAAATGAAGCACATCAATCATTTTAAAATGCACATGCGATCACACCGAAATCTAAGTACAAATTCAACAAATCCAAGCATAGGAACGCCTGAGAAAAAGAAAGAATTCTTGTGCTCGACATGTGGAAAAGCGTGTACGTCTCGAAGTAATTTGGCGGTACATACACGACGACACACGGGAATTATGACAAATTTTTGCAAAATTTGTGGAAAAGGATATCCCAGATCAACTGATTTAACCATACATATGAGGTTTGTATGCTCCGCACCGCAATTTAAACAAATGAACTTAAAAAAATAATAATTTTTTTTTCTTCAGAAAACACACCGGAGAAAAGCCATTCTCTTGTTCAATATGTAATCGTAGCTTTGCACGATCAGATAAATTGACGATACACATTAGGTAGTTAATTAAAATGTCAATTTAGTTTCAATTATGTTACAAACGGCGTATTTTCATATATTTCATTTACAATAGAGTACATACCGGGGAAAAACCGTATCTTTGTTCGTCGTGCGGAAGAGCCTTTGCTCAAGTAAGCAAAAAAAATCACATTTAATTTTTGAACTATAAAAATGAAACATATCTATTTGCAGCGGAACGATTTGATTTCTCATCAACGTCGAAAGGTGTGCGGACATGTGCCAGAGCAGACAGACAAGAGTGCCATTTCATAGGATGAAAATTCTTTCAATTTTTGACAATCCTTCAACGAAACGAATTTGTTTTCACAAATTTCGACCTAAAAACTACTCACTAGAGAAAAATCAATAAATTGATACACATGCATAGTTTAATTCTGATTTGTTGCTTTTCATTTATTTATTTTCGATTGTATTTTGCTGGCTTCAGCCCATACATATTTGACTTTAAATTAAAACTGTAACTCGGGATTTCGAGATTTTTCTTGACCTTCGGTCCAGGCTTTAGCAATCATTCGTTTGGTCTCTGAATCGCCCGAATCATACATCTTTTTCATGATATTCATAAGTCCGGCATTTGGGTCCTTATCCGATGCCAAATCATTTTCCATATCAGACTTTTTCATGTCGGCCAATTTCTTTTCCGTGGATGTTAAATGAGACCATTTTTTACCTAAATTCGAACAAAACGAGTATTAATTGGGTAAAAAGTATCATGTCAATTATATTTAGTTTACCTTCAACAGCCTTTTTCGCATATATTGCTACCGAGTTGGTTTTAATTTTGCGATAGCTTTTCTCCACATCGATTTCCTGTAGAAGGTTGTTCACTTCAAACTTATGGTCTTTGTTCTGAACATTGGCCACTTTCAATAATATCGACTGAGGCTTGAACGTTACAACAACATTTTCTTCGGATGCATCCTGAACGCCATCAAGGGCGATAAAGAACTTGACAAACTTGTCACTTTGATCCCAAGCATAGTTACTGATGTCGCACTCGTATCGCTTGACTTCACTGTTCACCGTGCGGACCTTTTGGGTTTCCGGATTGGCTTGTGATTGAGCACGAAGATTTGATAATTCAGTTTCGATGCGTTTCTTTTGAAGCAAAATGGCATCAATGTTGCGAGGACGTTTCAATTGTTCAAACATTTGGTTGAGTTCAGCCAAATCCAATGTGAGCTGCGAAAACAATGAGGTTATATTTGAGCATTGTTCCCTTTTAATGAATAAAAATCTCTTTCAATTTTTAATTATTACCTCTTGAATTTTTGGGTTTGCCATTTTATTATCCAATCAATATAACGCTTCTAATTGTAATATTTTATCCAAAAGATAATCGAAATTTTAGCGTGTGATGTTAAACGATAATTGTTTGCTGCTATTATTCTCGAATATTTTGACGTTTCAAATGTAATGCCAATAAACGTGAAGTTGCTTCAAGTCCATGTGCAATTCTGGAAGTTTTTTAAAAACAAGAATAAAATGTCTGTTTAATTTATTTGATTTGATTTAGATCAACATATTTTACTCAATTTTTGTCTTGAAAGAGGAACATTTTTTAGCAGCTTGATTTAAATACCATTCTTTTTACTTAGAATTTCACATCCTAAAATGAAGATAATAGCTTTTTTCTAAAAAAATGAAAGACCGTGTGTTTTTCTTTTGAATTCTTTAATTTTCGGCACAATCTTTGAATTTGTTAACAATCAAAATAATGAAATACAATGTTTTTTGACACAAATATTGTGTTTTTACAGAGCGCTTTAATTGTTATTTTGTTCGATAAGAACATTTCAAGATGACGCATTCGGATTGTTTATTTCTTCAAATTTTTGCACATTGAGAATCGAAAGTTTTTTTTGCATTCAGGAGCCCTTTTATAATTTCTTCATGCTCGTTCATCTTTTTTTTAAGTTCTTACATTTCTTTTTTCAGATTGTCATTGACTAGTTCATTGACTAGCCCATTGACCAACTTCATCTTTGCCTCCTCTGGTATTTCTGCAAGCACTTGCTTGATCTTAGCTTCACGACGTGTTTCGGGTGTTTCCGGAGAACCGCCACGGAGACGCAAGACCAAATGTAGAGTACTCTCTTTTTGAATATTATAGTCGCTCAATGTACGACCATCTTCGAGCTGCTTTCCAGCGAAGATCAAACGTTGTTGGTCTGGCGGAATACCTTCCTTATCCTGGATCTTGGCCTTTACGTTTTCGATGGTATCGGATGGTTCGACTTCCAAGGTAATGGTTTTACCAGTCAATGTCTTGACAAAAATTTGCATACCACCACGGAGACGCAAGACCAAATGCAAAGTGCTTTCCTTTTGGATGTTGTAGTCGTTCAATGTGCGACCATCCTCAAGCTGTTTACCGGCGAAAATCAAACGTTGTTGATCTGGTGGGATACCTAAATTAATAAACAAAATAATTATAAACTTGTAACAAAATGCATGTAAATCGCCAAAAAAAATGTCATGTATGTCATTTACCTTCTTTATCCTGGATCTTGGCTTTGACATTTTCAATGGTATCGGATGGTTCGACTTCCAAGGTAATGGTTTTACCAGTCAATGTCTTGACGAAAATTTGCATACCACCACGGAGACGCAAGACCAAATG